TGGGGGTCATTACACATTTTGGGGGTGTCTTGAGCACCTCGTTCCCCACCTCAGCACTGCTTAGCAGCAGCCAGCTGCCCCTATATCCACCTTTGCATCCAGGACCAGTGGGGAGGCTGGGCGCTTGCCGGAAGTGCTGGTGGCGTTGACGTGCTGTGTGACTCACCATCAGTAGGTTTCAGAGTCAGCGCCCACTGGAAGCGGGGTCATTACACATTTTGGGGGTGTCTTGAGCACCTCGTTCCCCACCTCAGCACTGCTTAGCAGCAGCCAGCTGCCCCTATATCCACCTTTGCATCCAGGACCAGTGGGGAGGCTGGGCGCTTGCCGGAAGTGCTGGTGGCGTTGACGTGCTGTGTGACTCACCATCAGTAGGTTTCAGAGTCAGCGCCCACTGGAAGCAGCAGGGCAGCTCACACCCGGGCAGGTTCCCAGCCAGCTCGGGGAGCAGCTTTGGCCAGGTTCCCGTTGCGACAGTTTTCTTCGCTATCTCCTCCAGGCCCCGCAGCGCTGCCCCGGAGCTGGGGCGGGGTCTGTGTGGGCCCGGACACGGGCTGGGCCCGTCCCGACCCCGATGAGAGTAACTGACCGAATGCCGTGAAACGCATCCCCCAGCGCGCCCGCTCTGGGGCTCGGGCGGCTGATTGCCCTTTGCCATTGCAGGCCCGGCAGCGGGAGAAGATGAATGAGGAGCACAACAAGCGGCTCTCTGACACAGTGGATCGGCTGCTGAGCGAGTCCAACGAGCGGCTGCAGCTTCACCTGAAGGAGCGGATGGCAGCCTTGGAGGAGAAGGTACCAGGCGGCGGGTCGGGGGACTTCTCTGCGGAGGGCACAGCTTGTAGCCGCTGCACAGGGCAGGGATGCAGGGCAGGCCTGGGGTTTGCAAACCTCCTCCGGGATTGGTCGCCCCTTTCTCCTGGGGATCAGGCAGCTCGGCAAATCCGGCTCGGTGGGGTTCGCTTTTCTAGCGGATGGCAGCCTTGGAGGAGAAGGTACCAGGCGGCGGGTCGGGGGACTTCTCTGCGGAGGGCACAGCTTGTAGCCGCTGCACAGGGCAGGGATGCAGGGCAGGCCTGGGGTTTGCAAACCTCCTCCGGGATTGGTCGCCCCTTTCTCCTGGGGATCAGGCAGCTCGGCAAATCCGGCTCGGTGGGGTTCGCTTTTCTCGGTATCACGGTGGCCCCCGGAGGCTCCTGTGCTCCTGTGCTGCACCCTGCCAGGGAGCAGAAGCTCCCTGCCCCACGCTGCTCCCAGGCCGGCGAGTGAGACTCCCCCAGCGTGGGGGCAGGGATGAGACACGGGGTATGCACAGGACAGGCCCCGGGCAGGCCTGGGTCGGGTGCCAAGTTGCAGATGCGCTTTATTCACGCTCCCCTTTGGATCAGCCATGGGTCCCCGGGGGAGAGATTTCAAAGCAGATTGCGGGTGACAAGGTGGCTCTGTTGGTGCTGAAAACGTCACCTCCTCTTCTGGCGGGCGTCCGTCAGCCCAGCCCCCTCCCAGACTCAGCCTCCAGGCTGGGGCAGCTGCCCGCTGCATGGCTCATGCCCACCCTCTCTCTTATTGTTCTTTTCAAGAACGCCTTTTTTCAAGAGCTGGAGGGCACCCAAAAGCAGATCGAGGAGCAGCAACACGACAAGGTACATGCGCTCGGGGCAGCTGTGCCTTGCTCCCAGCCTGGTGCCGCCACAGTGCCCTCAGGAGGGGGCACACGCTGGGGTCCCCACTGCCCAGCAAGGCTGTGGCTTGCATGAAAGCTGCAACCTGACTAGCTGGCCTCCTACCTGGCTTTCGGCTGTCGTGGGACTTGAACCCACAACGCTGCCTTCCCCAGGACAAGGTACATGCGCTCGGGGCAGCTGTGCCTTGCTCCCAGCCTGGTGCCGCCACAGTGCCCTCAGGAGGGGGCACACGCTGGGGTCCCCACTGCCCAGCAAGGCTGTGGCTTGCATGAAAGCTGCAACCTGACTAGCTGGCCTCCTACCTGGCTTTCGGCTGTCGTGGGACTTGAACCCACAACGCTGCCTTCCCCAGGTAAGTGCCCTATCCCCTAGGCCATGCAGGGACCTACCCCACCGCTTTCCAGGCACGTGGTCTCCAGGCTGAGCTATCTAAAGGGCGGCCCTGCCCTCCTCCCAGGCGTAGCCGAGCCCCTCCCAAAGGCAGCACACAGTTGGCCAGCTTGGCTCTCTGCCCGTAGCCCTAGTGCCGCGCTGTCCCACCGGTTCTGACGCAGAAGCCATGGTGGAGGCTGCTGCTCCAGCCAACTGGCCGCGTTATTCTGACACTAAATCATTCTGAGCGCCAGCTAGCCACCTCAACCGGCCACACAGCCCCCGATGGCTAGTGGCGCGGGTTGGGCCCTGGTTTATAGAGGGGTGAGTTTAAGGGCCGGGGAACCTTTTTTGGTTCAGGGGCCGCTGACCCAGAGAAAAATCAGTCGAGGGCGGCACGCAAGTGAGAAGCAAAAGCAAGCAAACCAACCAACCCTCACTGGCGGGGCCCCCGACTGAGGAGAAAGACCCTCCCCACATCCCCCTGCACACCAGAGCCTGGGGGAGGCAGTGTGGGGAGGGGGTGTTGCAGCACCAGTGCAGGCTCCCCAATGCAGGGCGAGGAGCCTTGCGCCTCAGGGGCCGGATCTAGGCAAGCTGGGAGCCGCATCCAGCCCCTGGCCCTTAGGTTCCCCACCCCTGGTTTCCAGAGTGACTTGCCGGCTCCGGGGTAAGCCCTGCTAAGTCGGTTTCCACAGGGTGAGGTCCCTGGACTATCTTGGCACTTACGAAGGGGGCGCCGAAGCCCAGGGCTGCCTGCCACCCCCCTGTTCCCCGGCGGCTTGTCTCGTCCCGAGGCGCTCGCTCTGTCTCCGTGAGAATGGATCTCGCTCCCACCTGCAGGCCTGGAAGATCAGGAGCAGTTTGCCTCTGCCCTGCGGTGGGATGAGAAGCCGGGGGCCAGCTAAGCAGCCCTGCTCTCGTGCTCTGGCCTCGCTCGCGGCTCTTCCTCTCTTGTGCTGTCTGCTGTGCCCTTCCCCGCGGGCTGCACCTGCCTGTCGCGCGGGCAGCAATTCACCCTGAAGGGCTGCGGCTGCTCCGGGCCGGGCACTGCCGTGGCCTTACCATGTTTTGATCCGTTTGCACACAGCACCAGAGCCTGGTGCGACTGGGTCATTGGACCCCTTCCAGTTACACCAGCCCCCCGTCTAGGCCTTGCAGCTGCATCTGGCCTCCTTAGCCGTGACTCGATGGGATGTGGCTGCAACCGTCTGGGAAGGCAGGAGTGTGCCATGCGGGGAGGATGGCTCGCTGGCTCCCATCCAGACCGTGCTGCCTCCGTGGGGGCGGTGGCCTCTCCCTTGGCAGCTCCTGAATTATAACGGGCAGGGGAGGGAGGCGTGAACAGCGCGGAGGCAAGTCTCTGGTTAGGAGAGAGCTGCTGGCCAGCTGGCCGTAGGAGGAGCTGTGCTAGAGACAGCTTTGGCTGGGGCAGAGGGGATTCCTGGCTGTCAGCCCTTTTGCTGGCGAGGTGCAAACATTGACACGGCAAGGGATCCAAGTGCGACCTATTCTCCTTTGTGTCCAGCCCTGCCCCGTGCTTGTGTCTGTCTGTCCCCACTACAAGGCTCCTAACTCTCCCTGCACGGGCCCGAGCATCCTCATTTACCACTGCCTGCTCCTCCGGGGCTTCACAGGCCCCGCAAAGGTGTGGGATAGGTGTTACTTTTTTAAATAAGTAGAATCAACCTGAAACTAGGGTCCTCTCCAGACACGCTAACCTCCCCTCCTCTCTCTGGTCCCTGTTGAGCAGAGGAGGTTGTCCGACGAGATTGACAAGCTGCGGTCGGAGGTGGACCAGCTGCGGACCAGAAGTGGGACGTTTGTGGACGGCCTACACCCAAGGTATGGACCGCGGGCTTGGCCACGGACTGTATTGCTGCCCGTGTGCATTGCAAGCTGTGACGGCGCGTTGGGGGTCCCCCGTCTCCTGCACCCCGAAATGGCACAAACAGACTCCACCAGCCAGTAGAATTGAGGGTGGTTTATTGCTCCTCCAGGATACCGCACAGCACAGATGTCATCTGGTTACAGGAACTGGAGCTAAGAGGCCTCAGCGCCCCCTTGAGATGGGGGGATCCCAGCCCCCTCCCCAGTTCCTTCTTCCCTGCTTTCCAGCCAGGAACTAACTCCCCCTCTCCCAGCCATGCCCCCAGCCAGGGCAGCATCCACCTCCCTTTGTTTCTCCCCATGCGGGGTTGGCTGGTTCAACCGGTATGGAGTCACCTTTGCATAATAAGGTTTTCCCTGCTGGGTCTTGCTCCAGACAGCAGAGGTCACCACAGCCCAGCAAGTACCCCCACTACGTCACACATGCCAGCTCCCTAGGGGCGGTGGGCCCTACCAGGCCTTCTCTGCCCTGGCAGGAGGCATCTGTGGAAAACCCGCCCAGGCCAGGTTGCCTATGAGCCAGCCAGGCTTGCTGGTTTCTTCTCGGGGGCAGAGCTGGGGAGGACTGGGAAGAAGAGGGTCTCCTGAGTGCTGGCGTAGAACCCCAAGGCCAGGCCAGGCTTTGCCCTCCCGTGCTGCCTGTAAGTGCTTGCATTTGGGAGGCGGTTCCCCTGCATTTCCACAGGCAGCCACACTCTGAGTTTGTCTGCTGGTTTAACTGTTGAGAGAGCCATGCGGCGCTTAGGCCACGGGACACGCTGCTCCACGCGGGTGGGCGGAACACCTGCGATCCCAGCGTGGTCCCCTAGGGGGCACTGCAGAGCAGCAGCACCTGCCACGCTGGGCCGTAGCCCTGGGACCAAGGGCTGTTCCCTCCGGTTCTCGTCCCGCACCGGGAGCGCCGGCCCAGGAGCCGTACTGGGGTGGTCCGGGGCGGGATGAGCACTGGGCCGGGGGAGCAGGGAAGCCGGGGTGTTGCTGTTCTGAGCAGGACCAATGGGATTTTGATTCCCTTTCCGTGGCAGTAGCGGTAAGGGGGGGACTGCAGTGGCAGCCCCTGTGTGGGGCAGGCTGGGGTTTTATTCAGTAGAGCCGCTTCCTGGCCCTGAGCCAGCCACACGCCATCTCATGCAAGACCTTGGCTTGGTTGGCTCACGTAGGCCAATGCCCAGGCAGAGGAATCGGAAATTTCCACCTCCTTTTATTTCTCTTTCTAAGGCCCACTTGCCCGCTCCCTCCCCGGTTCAACCTGGGCTGGAGAACCTGTGACTTGCAGGCAGGAAATGGAGGTGCGGGGAGGGGCAGCGGTGCCTGGCGAGAGGCTGATGGAGGGGCAGATTGTGCCTGCCTTTTGGGGGAGCTGACCACCATGGGTGTGTCCATCTCCAGGCACTCGGAGGTCGATACGAAAGATGGTGTCACCCTGCAGGCCTCCATCCTCCAAGGGTGGCCACCCAGGCCTTTTGCCAGCGTGTCCTCCAGCCTTTTGCAGCAGGGCAGACGGGGGATGGAGGAGGAGCCATGCGGGGCTTCTGTCTGGAGCCTTTTCTCAGACCCACTGAGCTTCCTGGCCCCCGCACCTCAGCGTCTTGGCCCAGTTGGTGAGGAGCCAGTGGGGTGCCCGAGTGCTCCTGGGCCCCTGCAGGATAGGTCTTTGATCACAGAACTCCAGCAGGCCGGAGCAGCGGACAGAGGCACCGAGCAGGCGGAGGGGTAGGAGGAATGGGCGGGGAGGAGTGGAGTTTGCAATAATCATTGCTCCCCGCCCGCCCCCCACTCCCAGCACATCCCGAGCCCAGAACCGGAGCTGCTGGGCATCCCACCGCGCCCAACAGCCGGGCTGAGTCCCCTGCTCCTGCTGGCCTGGAGCTCTCCTGCTGCGCCATCGTTTGCAGGGTGCTGCCAGGCGCCCCGGTGCCCAGGACCCATCTGCTGGCCAGAGCCCTGCTCCTGCCCTTCCTCGCCCACAGACCCGGGAGAGGGGGAGCTGGCAGCACCAGCCTCTTGGTTCCTAGTGGGCACGCTCCCTTCCCCACGCTGGGGGCTGCTCTCCTTTCCTGCTCCCGGTGTGGCATGGCGGGCCTAGGGCCCAGTCCGCTGCTCTGGCCGCTGGGGGTCCAGGGACAGTCAGGGCATTCGCCCCACTAGGTAGTCTGAGCGCCTGGCGCCAGAGCCCTGCCTGCCTTTCGGCCATGGCTCAGCCTGCGCCCGGCCTGGGCTGCTGGCCTCCCTGAGGCGGCAACTGCCCAGTGCTGCTGTTCCCCCTCCAGCGGGCAGCCCCTTCCCATGTTCTGTGGCATCCAGAGCCTGAGGCCCTGGCTCCGTCGCCTGAGGCCCTGGCTCCGTCGCTTCTGCCCCCAGCCCGCAACTGGAGAGCGGAGGGCCAGAGGCTGCCAGGCCGTCGGTTCTGAGCACGCCCCTTCCTCCTGCTCCCCCAGGGCTTTGCAGGGGCAGCCCAGCCCGCCTGAGAGGGGCAGCTCGTTGCTTGCGGTGGGGGGGGAAGGGCACTTGTGTCCCCTCTGGGGCCTGTCACCCCAGGCCCTGCATCCTCCTGCGAGCCGCCTGGGGGCTTGGAGAACTCCTCTGTCCTCTCCAGGCCACCTCGGGCCCTTAGAATCCACTGCTGGGCAGCGCAGACAGTAGAGCTGCCAGATGCTCTCGCAACAAATCCCGAACATGGCGGGGAAAAAAATTGGTTGAGCAAAAAAAGAAACAGGGGAGCAAAGTTGTTGAGCAAAAAAAAAAAAAAAGGAATCGCTGCGCCTTTATTTTCTGTGGTCACAACGGGCAAAAAGCAGACACCTGGTCACCCTAGCAGACAGAGCAGAGCTAAAGGTGTCTCACGGCCTAGTCCTAGACCCTGCCACTGCTCCCTCTGCCCCCTTTACCCATCCCTTGCCAGCAGGTTAGCCTCCGGGGCTAGGCCCAGGCGTTGGGCTGTGTGGCTGCTGGAGCCGGTACTGCATCTGCTGCTATGCAAATTGTGTCCTGCCCTTAGGGACTGCACTTGTGCCCACAGCAAAGGGCGGCAGAGAGACAGGACAGGGCCTGCTCCCGACTCCCCTGGTGCAGGACGGTGCTGGACTATTTGCTGCACCAGCCGCTTCCTCCATGCCCTGGATTTGCCAGGTGCACAGCGGTGGCGGGGGCTTCGGTGCTGCTTTTGGAATGGCAGACTCACTGATGGAGGGTCTCCGCCGGGACTTGTCCCGTTTCCCCGAATCACGGGGCCTTTCCTGGCCACGCCCATTTTTGTACCAATGTGACCAGGCAGACACCAGGCACGTGGATTTTAAAGCCTCTTGTGCAGCTTCCTATTGGTAGGGAGGAGGCCAGCCTGGTCACTGCCCAGGCCCCGGGGTGCTCTGCACCCAAAGTGGCCTTGGCTAAATGAGGCCTTGGTGGCCTGCAGCTTTATGTTCCACTAAAGCATCTGTGCAGTAGAGGGCAGCGTGACGCCACCGGATGCCTTGGAAAAAGAGCCCGGGACAGCGTAGCAACACCTGCTGCCCAGGGCTGCCTCTCAGTAGCGGCAACCTCCCCACCGGCAGCCTCTCCCATGACAGGCTGCCGCATGACGAGAGTGCCTGCCTCAGTTTCCCTTCTTCTGAGTCCCCAATAACTGCACCAGGCTCGCGCTCTCTCAATAGTACCCTCCTTGGGCTGGTTTATTACCAAACCATAGGGCAGAGTCCAAAGCAAGTCGCAACATAGAGTTACCCCCAGCACAAATAGGCCTTAACATTCCAGGAGAGAGTCCCTTGAAAATCCCCGTGTCTGGCCTCTTCGTCCGTCCTCTCCTGTCATTTTGCCAGGAGAGTCACTACAGCCCTTCCAGCTAGAATCGTAGACTATTAGAACTGGAAGGGACCTCGAGAGGTCATCGAATCCAGTCCCCTGCCCTCATGGCAGGACCAAGCACCGTCTTCGCCATCCCAGATAGATGCTCTTAAATATCTCCAGGGATGGAGATTCCACAACCCCTCTAGGCAACTTATTCCAGTGTTTCACCACCCGGACAGGCAGGAAGTTTTTCCTAATGTCCAACCTAAACCTCCCCTGCTGCAATTTAAGCCCATGGCCTCTGATGATAGGACAAGAAGCAAAGGAGAACAAGTTTTCTCCCTCCTCCTTGTGACACCCTTTTAGATACTTGAAAACTGCTCTCATGTCCCCTCTCAGTCTTCTCCTTTCCAAACTAAACAAGCCCAATTCCTTCAGCCTTCCTTCCTAGCTCATGTTCTCTAGACCCTTCATCACATGCATCTGACGAAGTGGGTCTTTGCCCACGAAAGCTTATGCTCCAACACTTCGGTTAGTCTATAAGGTGCCACAGGTCTCCTCGCTGCTTTTGCAGATTCAGGCTAACACGGCGACCCCTCTGATACTTCATCATTCTTGTCGCTCTTCTCTGGACCCTCTCCAATGTCTCCACATCTTTCTTGAAATGTGGCGCCCAGAACTGGACACAAGACTCCAGCTGAGGCCTCATCAGCGCAGAGTAGAGCGGAAGAATGACTCCTCGTGTCTTGCTCACCACACTCCTGTGAATGCAGCCCGGAGTTATTTGTGACCATGGTTTCCTCTAAGGTGTGTGCTTGTGCGCACGCAGAGAGAAAATGTCTACTCTGCCTGCAGCAGCGTGGGGGCAGGCAGACGGCTGCTCCAGCCAGCTGGGGCCCAAGGAGCCATGTGGTGGGCAGGTGCCTGCTCCAGCCAGCCGGGGCCAGAGGGTTGCTGCTGTGGGCCGGTGGGTTGCTGTTGCTGGGGGTTGGGACCGTGAGCGGGTGGTTCGCTGTTGCTGGGGGTTGGGACTGTGAGCGGGCGGGTCGCTGTTGCTGGGGGTTGGGACTGTGAGCGGGCGGGTCGCTGTTGCTGGGGGTTGGGACTGTGAGCGGGCGGGTCGCTGTTGCTGGGGGTTGGGACTGTGAGCGGGCGGGTCGCTGTTGCTGGGGGTTGGGACTGTGAGCGGGCGGGTCGCTGTTGCTGGGGGTTGGGACTGTGAGCGGGCGGGTCGCTGTTGCTGGGGGTTGGGACTGTGAGCGGGCGGGTCGCTGTTGCTGGGGGTTGGGACTGTGAGCGGGCGGGTCGCTGTTGCTGGGGGTTGGGACTGTGAGCGGGCGGGTCGCTGTTGCTGGGGGTTGGGACTGTGAGCGGGCGGGTCGCTGTTGCTGGGGGTTGGGACTGTGAGCGGGCGGGTCGCTGTTGCTGGGGGTTGGGACTGTGAGCGGGCGGGTCGCTGTTGCTGGGGGTTGGGACTGTGAGCGGGCGGGTCGCTGTTGCTGGGGGTTGGGACTGTGAGCGGGCGGGTCGCTGTTGCTGGGGGTTGGGACTGTGAGCGGGCGGGTCGCTGTTGCTGGGGGTTGGGACTGTGAGCGGGCGGGTCGCTGTTGCTGGGGGTTGGGACTGTGAGCGGGCGGGTCGCTGTTGCTGGGGGTTGGGACTGTGAGCGGGCGGGTCGCTGTTGCTGGGGGTTGGGACTGTGAGCGGGCGGGTCGCTGTTGCTGGGGGTTGGGACTGTGAGCGGGCGGGTCGCTGTTGCTGGGGGTTGGGACTGTGAGCGGGCGGGTCGCTGTTGCTGGGGGTTGGGACTGTGAGCGGGCGGGTCGCTGTTGCTGGGGGTTGGGACTGTGAGCGGGCGGGTCGCTGTTGCTGGGGGTTGGGACTGTGAGCGGGCGGGTCGCTGTTGCTGGGGGTTGGGACTGTGAGCGGGCGGGTCGCTGTTGCTGGGGGTTGGGACTGTGAGCGGGCGGGTCGCTGTTGCTGGGGGTTGGGACTGTGAGCGGGCGGGTCGCTGTTGCTGGGGGTTGGGACTGTGAGCGGGCGGGTCGCTGTTGCTGGGGGTTGGGACTGTGAGCGGGCGGGTCGCTGTTGCTGGGGGTTGGGACTGTGAGCGGGCGGGTCGCTGTTGCTGGGGGTTGGGACTGTGAGCGGGCGGGTCGCTGTTGCTGGGGGTTGGGACTGTGAGCGGGCGGGTCGCTGTTGCTGGGGGTTGGGACTGTGAGCGGGCGGGTCGCTGTTGCTGGGGGTTGGGACTGTGAGCGGGCGGGTCGCTGTTGCTGGGGGTTGGGACTGTGAGCGGGCGGGTCGCTGTTGCTGGGGGTTCCTTTAGCCCTGGTGCGGGGGCGCCAGCCAACAAACTTCTCCTGCCTTCAGGCTTCTCCTAGGCCCCTCTTTCAGCTTCTCTCAGGGACTGTCTCCGGGTCTCCGGCAGCTCTCTCCTGGCTGACCCTCTCTGCCCCATGTCTATGGCCCAGGTGCTTTTCTTTCCACCCCAGAGAGGCAGCTGAGGAGTGGCTGGCCCAGTGCCACGCCGTGACACTGCTAGTGGCTTACCCAAGGAGGCCGCTGGCCGTTGCTCTGCTGGACCGGGAAGGCCTAGAACTGTTGGAAACCTCTGGCAAGGCAACCGAGCCCGGGCCTCGGCCCGCCCCCTGTCGTGGAGCGAGTAGGACAGTGCAGAAAGCCCAGCCGCTTTGAGTGCCAGCACTGGCGCCGCGGGGACCCTGGCTCCTGCCTGACGCCGTGTCTCCAGGGAGCGCTGTTACTGGCGCACGCAGCTTCCTCTTCAGGCAGGACTTCCTGCGCCTGGCTTGCTGAAAATTCTCCTTGCCCTGTCTGGGTATGTCTACACTACACTACCTAGTTCGTGCCACGTGTAGCCGCGCGGCACGGGGTTCGAACCAGCCAGGATTTAAAAATGGCGACGCCCAGTTTATGCAAATGAAGCCTGGGAAATTCAAATCCCGGGCTTCATTTGCAATTGCGGTATGCCTACATTACCCCGCTAGTTCGAACTAGCGGGGTAGTGTAGACATACCCTCTGTGAGGGTCTCTCCCAGGAGGTGGGAGTCCTCATGGGGTGTCCCAAATGCAGTGGGTTTCTCTTCCCAGCACCAGCTCCCGTTGCTGCCTCTGATGCTGAGGCAGCGGGGGAGGAGGGGCAGGTGTCAAGTAACCTCTCGACTAGTCACTTACCTCCCTAGGTGTGGCGTAGTGGGGGGCTGTCGCTCTGTGACCCGGGGTCCCCCTGCGCTGGGATGGGAGATTCTCATAGACTCTCCCAAATGTGGATTAACCCAGACACCCAGGCTCAGCCTCCCAGGGAGAGACAAAGGGAGGGGGGCGGAGACCAGCACCTGGCTGGGGGGCAGGGCTGGAAGAGGGGTTTAGTTTCTGTCTGGAATCAAGGAGGAAGCAGCTTAAGCAAGGGGCTGGGATTTAGGGGCCCGGTCTCCCCCATCTCAAGGGGGGCTGAGACATCTTAGGCCTGCCCTGTAACCAGATGACATCTGTGCTGTGCTGTATCCTGGAGAAGCAATAAACTTCCTCTGTTCTACTGGCCGGTGGGGTCTGTCCGTGCCACTACGGGGGTGCAGGAGGTGGGGGAACCCCGACGCGCCGTCATACTAGGTTACAGTTGGGGTCATATTTTCCACCTTCTCCTCACGACTGAACCAGCTGGAGCCTTGCTGCTGGTTTTGCTTTGTGATGAAAGTTGACTTTGGCACCGAACCGTCTTACTCGGGTCCTGTTTGCAGCACTGAGTTGGGATGGAGACAAGGGCTTTGATTGGGAACGGGTGACAGAGGAGGGATCACTTGAGGTGTGTCTAGACTACATGCCTCCTTCGACGGAGGCATGTAGATTAGCCAGATCGGAAAAGGGAAATGAAGCCGCGATTAAAATAATCGCGGCTTCATTTAAATTTAAATGGCTGGGGCCCGCCCC